CGGGATCTGAAGGCCTTAGGAATAGACTTCAACAGATGGAAAACTCTGACATCTGATTGTTCAGCCTGGAGGCAGGCGGTACATCACGGCCTCTCCCAATTTGAAGAGACCCTTGTCCAGCAGGCCGAGGCAAAGAGGAAGTCACAAAGGAAGCAAAACCAGGGAGCTGGACAGGGGACAGATTGGATTGGTATTCAGATTGTAACTCTCGAATTGGCCTCCTCAGCCACACTAGACGCTGTTCCAAGTCCTCCATACAGAGCACGCTACCATAGTCTTTCGAGACTGAAGGATGCCTACAATGACAATGACACTGCAACACACTGGAATTCCCAGTTGGGTCCAAAACAAAGGGAGTAGTTATGTCTGGATAACAAAACAGCCAGTTGTGCAAAAGCAGAAAGTACACTATTTCCAGTCCTTCATAAAATAAATTAACAAGAAGAATTTGCAACATTCACACAATACATACCTTTCCAGGGTTTCTGGTTTTCCATCACCTTCAGGGGCAGATTGTAATCCATTTAGACTTGTATATTGTGCCACATCTTTGGTTGTTGTTGTTTTCTTTTCTTTTTGGCTCAACAATATTTTCACATTGCAGCTGAGGGTGTTCTTCAATTTGCCCAGGTTTCAGGACAGACACATCAGTTGTAGGGATAAAAAAACCTGCCAATCCCTTTCTTATTGCACTTCTCAAAATCCCAGTGGTATACTTGTTTTGTACCAAATTGCAAGATAACCTGGAAGGTTTTCTTCCTCCAAAAATCTGTGCAGTAGGGGTGGGTGGGTGGTTTCAAATGTATACATGTACAGTACACAGCTTTTGCTAATGTAGGATTCATTTCTGTTGCTTAGCATGTGCTTGAGTGCACTGATCAAATGTACATACTTTTAAGTGTATGTATTTCTTAAATTTATGCATGGTTTTGTGCACGTTTCTCACATCGCAAGCTTTCAAAATATATGGATCTCTGGGGCAAGACATGCTGGATTTCACCTGATGCAGGAGCTGCAAAACTAGTATTTCCATATGGAAATGTAGAGCTAAATAATTTCTTTTCCATTCCTAGCTGGGTGGTGCATTAAGTGATAGATAGGAATGCTGTTAGAATGAGGTTCTTGGGCACCATTTATAACTGCATTTAATTAGACCCCATCCATGTAACCCAGTGCTTTCTTCCTCAGATTTAGCCAAAGAGTAAAAGCCAGAAAGAAGCTTTATTTTGAGCTATCTGAGGAGTTTTGAAGATGTCCGAGAAAAGACATCAGCTATTAGTTTAAGGAGCTCCGCCGAGTCAATATGGGTTCATCAAAATATTACCCACAGGACCTGTGAATGAAGGAAACACTTGTAAAAACAACATAATTAGCATATAGGATCAGGTGCTAGATTACAAATTCCTTGACTACAATTACCTTGCAATGCCTTATCATTAAGACTTATTTTTAAATCATATTTTTCTTGCACAATTGTTACAACCATCAATTGTGTCTATTCTTCTAAAAAAATTAAATAGCTGTCTAACTTTTTTTCTTAACTAATGTTAACAGTGAAGAAAGCCAAGGATGTTGAAAAGTGATTGGATTAGTTAAGGCGTTTAAAAAGAAGATTCAGAAAGATCAAATCTCTTCAGAATCCATGGAGGTTATTTAACCACTGTTGTGAACACTGAACTAAAACATACAGGGGAGCCTCGCAAAACGATTGCCTTGCGGGATGATTAATCCGCAAGATGATTAGTTTTTGCAACTACTGTTGCGCTTCGCAAGACGATGGTTTCCTATGGACGATTTTCGCAAGATGACGATTTTTCCCATTGGAACGCATTTAGAAGATTTCAATGCATTCCAGTGGGGAACTGCGTTTCGCAAAGTGATGTTTTCTATGGACAATTTTCGCAAAACGACTATTTTCCCATTGGAACGCGTTAAGTAGATTTCAATGCATTCCAATGGGGAACCGCATTTCACAAGATGATGTTTTCGCAAGACAGCGTTTTTCACGGAACGAATTAACATTGTCTTGCGAGGCACCACTGTATCTCAAGTGATTAGAAAAGGTATGATTCCAGAATGAGTTACCGTGTGTCTTAGTAAGTTATATTACACAAGGTAGCTGTAAAAAGAAAGGTTTTTAAGCTTAGCTGACATGTGAAAAGGAAAAAGCACAAATTCTTCATGACAAATATTACTTGATAATAGTGCAGAGAGGACAATATTGCTGACATTAAAACAAAGTTTTTTTTAAAAAAAGCTAGAAAAGGAACACAGTGTAGAAGTTGGTTGAAGTGGTAGATGAAAAGGATATAAAAGGCCAAAGACATCAGGTTGCCTGGGGCATATGACACAACTATATCCTTCCCCTTCCTCAACGAGGATGTACAGCTGATTTTTACGTCAGCACTACTAAAGGGATACTGTCCTCCATCACATTAGAGGTGGTGTCCCATTCCTTGAGAAGCTGGCTTCTGCCAGTAAGATGGTGTTATCTGTGTATCTTAAATGACTGATGTGTCTTCCACCAATTTTCACACCTCCTTCATCTGAATCAAGTCTGGCTTTCCACATCATATGTTCTGAACACAGACTGAATGAATAAGAGGATAAAATGCACCCTTGCCTGACATCTTTGCCTAAAGGAAACCATTCTGTCCCTCCAAATTCTGTCGTAACAGTAGCTTCTTGTCTATAATACAAGTTACGCATCAGGACAATCCTGCTGAGGCAATAAACCTTTTTGAGTACCACTGGTTAAATGGGAGAAAAATACATAAGCTTACATGTTCTCAACTGTAACCAATGCTTTCTTAAAAGTACTTATCCTGGTTGGATTGTGTTTGAAGTTCCCCAGTAAGCTTTGTACAGAAATAAAGCACAGCAGCTACAGAAACAAGGACAATGCTATTACAGTGTTTTCCAGAACTGTTTTATTTGACAGGCATTTACAACGTTCCATTCATATACTTAAAAACATAAAAATAGACCTTCTTTCAGCTTATAAAAGAAATATATAAGAACCTTTGACATTGACAGGTCATGACATTATGTACAAGAACAATGGCACCCTCCAAGCACAGGACGTCCAGCATTTCACAGGTTTAATGTATTCCACTGGGGACAGCTAAAACATTGTCATGTCTACTCAATTGGTACACAATTGACTTGAATTTAAATATGGTGAGATACACAGGGTATAGAAACCTTGCTAAAGCATTTTAAGAAAAAAAGAAGGAGCAAAAGATAGCAAAAGTTAAGAGAATAAAACTTTCAAAACGTTGAGTATAGTGCACTGAGAATCAAACAGGCAAGAATCTAATAGTGGGTGAGATACAAGACAGCTGATACTGCTTGGTAACATTTTTCTGTTCTCATCTCAAAATATAGCCACAGCTGATTGTATAAAATGTAATGCCTAAAGCTATTATAAAAATTTAGGTTTTCAATGTACCTACCAATGTGTCAAACATCAGTAGATATTACAATTACCCCTTTAAAAAAGCAAAATAAGAACAATCCCCTCTTTAGCAGATCAAAACTAAAACTGAAAAGGCATATAAATACTTAGAAAGAAAGAAAAAAGTGCTTTAAAATTATTTGGAAATCTTTAGATTTTAGTCACATCTTTACCCTGTTACAGATGTTTTAAAAGAATGAAAAGGAGTTTTGCTTGTTTAGAATACTGTTCATATTCTATAGCAGTGGGGATACATCAAGTAATAATGGACACTAATTTCACATAGGAAAATAATAGGATGAGGTCAGGTTTTTTTGGCCATAAAATGATTAATTTTTCCTGAGCCCTAACTTCACCAACCAAAAAGGATCAAACTCATCCAAGATGCAACCTGCCAATTCTAACAGAATTACTGCAAGGATCAATTTAACCTTTCTGGTTTCTCAGCTATTTATTCACATTGCTAACAATTCCAGTCTCAAATATGTACAACTGTCCATTTTTATTTTACAGAGAGAGGGAGAGAGATTATCCCTAAGAGTTTCCAGTTCAGGATACTACTACTAAAGTGACTTCCTAAATCCTTTCTAAAAGAATTGTGTTATAGCTAGCTTGGAACAAAATAGCACAATCCCATATATGTTTACATGAGAGCAAATTCCACAAAGTCCACTGGGCTTACTCTCAAGTAAATGTGTTCAAGACTGCAACCTAAAACTCAAAAATTCCCATCCCTTTGTGCCCTTGTGTTTCAGGTAAAATGCAGAAAAATATCCTTTTCAAGTGTTAAATCTGGATCTCTCTTTCGAAAATTAAAAAAGAGCTTCGCATTTTTGTAACTTTTATGTAAAACTAGAACTTTCGACATTGACATTAGACTAGTCACAGACCAAAGAGAACAACAGAAATTCCAGATTTTTCCTCACACATTCCTAAAATATACATCATGTTATAGGATCCAGAGATCCTCACTTGGCAACAGTAAGCTTTCTGAATGCTACTGCAGGCAAGAATCTCTCTAACCAAACAGGTGCTTGGTATTGTATGTATCCATCATTTGCCGGGGGAAAGGAAAGTCTGGCTTTAGCCCCCACAAAACAGGTAAGAAGACCCCCTGGCGTTGACAGTGCCAAACACTGGTTCAGCAGTGCAGTTCCACACCAATGCATACCCCTGGATGCAAGTTTCCCCCCCTACTCAGACCATTTTTACTTGCTGTACCTCATTAAGAAGGAAAGTCCATGAACTGAAACTTATGTCTGTGCAGGGACAATCCTTTTTGGATCACAATGACAACTGCTTTAAGAAGGGAAAATGTTTAAAATGCTGTATCAATAGACACTTGATCCTGGTTTACTTGCAGCTTCCTTGTTTAAGATGAACCCATGATTGACAAGTCATGTACAAAATCCATCTGCTGCTTGTGCTATCACTTAAGCTAAGATGCTGTATATATATTTTGTGTGTGCGTGTGCGTTTATAAAACACCCACAGCAATGTGTTTTCTAGTGACAACTATGCATCCCATTTCAATATGCAGCCCCTGATTAGTTGAGAATAAATAAAGCCCTTGGTAATGTACAAAGAAGGACTCAAGCTCATTCCAGTTCTGAATTTTGTTTTGCTTTTTCTCTGCTTCTTAAATGTTGCTTTAAAAGGGGAAAAGCAGAAGAGAGAGGCCGTATGGTTTCAATCAGTTTAGCTGCCATAACTGTTATGTGCAAGTGTGCATTCTAAAATGTCATTCTCCACAACGTGTAAGGGGTGGGGGTGGGGGCACAGCTAGGCCTATGATCTAACAAAAAGTGAAGAGTCTACAGCTCAGTGTTCAATTTTCTTGGTGGCACAAAATCCTCACGCCGTACCCAGATGACCTCTTCACTGTTCCCTTCTATACCTCCGTTAATTCCAGACAGAGCGACTTGTTTCTTTAACTGAGCCATTCGGGAAGCATGGGTGCCCCCAGAGTACCGCCCCCTGTCTCCTCGGAAAGCTTGGTTGCTGGTAATGCAGGCGGCCTGCAACTGTTCCTGAAGCTCTTTTTCTGCCACGGTGCTCCTCAGAGGCTCCCCGCAGTCCTCCTCATCGCTGAGAATGTCCGTTTCTTTTATGTCCTCTTGTTCTTCATACTGGCCAAGGTCAAACTGCTCCTCCACCCAGCGATCGGTGTCCTTGCTGTTGGAAGACTGCTGGGGCTCTTTCTCGGGGCTGCTGGCAGAGATGGCATCTGAATCAATGGTGAATCTATTTCGGGCCAGCCGTCGCCGTCGCCTCCCGAGCGATTTGCTTGGGGCAGATACTGCCAAACACAAAATAAAAACAGAACCCCCGGAGGTTTTACCAACAATTTGTTTAAAATGCTACTTTTAAATAATCTGACTTCAGGTCTCTTCTCCCACCCTGCCCTGCATCTTGCATGATAGTTGTGGATGGCACAGACTGCCAATTATTTTCCATGTGGGCAGGTCCTGTTATACATAACTACTGAGAAATTTTGGGGGTTTTTTTGTAAGTGAGCCTTTTTAAAAAAAAAATCTAGTGCCTATGTGAGGATAAGAGACTATCAGCAAAATCCTCTTGTGTAAAGTTATGCTGGCATAAATTGGAACCAGTGTTGAAAATAAGTAATTTAAACTAATTGAAAGCCTCCTGTCTCTGTCTTCAGGTGTCAAAGTTTCCTAGTGCCCCTTTCTGCCTTGAAGAAGCTTTTGGGATCCTTGAGATGGAAGCAGGGAGGCTTAAATAGTTTTTTTTTTTAAATTGCTGCCAGATCCTGCCCTGCTGGCAGGATCACCAGTGGTGATCCAGCAGTGTGTTGTTTTGTTTTGTTACTATTCCTCTCCCTCCATCCTGAGGCTGTCCAGTGCTTCCTCAAGGTATAAGGGAGGCCTAGAGGGGGATAGGAAGCTTCCAATTTGTTTATATTAATTATTTCCTACATGGGATCAAGTTTATGTCAGTTTAACTTTACACTGTTAACTGTTCAAATGTTAGGCTTCCAAAAATGAGAAGTGGAAGTGAGAACATTGGAGTTCCTGCTCTCTAGAGGAACTAGAGAAGTGAGAAGTCGGCTGGAAATGAGCAAGGCTTTGTGATAAAAAATGAAGGACCAAAGGATTAGTTTTCTTTCTCGAGAGCTTGTTCCTAATGGTACTTCTCAGCTGCAGAGTTGTGCACAAGACATCCTGGTGTTAATGTTAATTGGATTTTACAAAAAACAGAGTTTTTTAAAAAAAAGAAGTACAAAACATCCAGGAACTAGGTTAATTTCCCATTCAGATAAAACCAGTAAACCTCTCCCCCCACCACCCACACATGGCACTGTGATCTTCATGTTGAAGACAAAACATCTTCAATATTGTGCATTTTTTTTCAGTCCTATGCTTTCCCTTTGCCTTGGCTAAAAGTCTAAGAAAAAGAGAAGGTTATATTCATCCAGCCTTTTCCCACAACAAGAACTTCACCCCATTAAGGCAATGGATTCCCTTTGACCTGGAACCATAAATACTTGCTTCAGAGATTTGGGGTTGAATCGGGGATGAGGGCTGGGGAAGTGCACAGGTGAGCAATACTGAATATTTGTTTGATTTACATAATTATCTGAAGTATGTTATAGTTCCATGGGTGAAAATCCAGGAATGAACCAAGGCAATAGTTGCTCTTTCTTTTGTTCTTTCTTTCTTGTATCAAAGAAGCAAATAAAGAAACCAACAAAATTCTTGAAGATAGTAGCTGACAAACCAGCAAATTTTCAAAATGTTCCCCATGCCTCACAAATGAGTGAAGATGTCATTTGTGGTTTTCAAAGACATCCTCTGAACAAGGAGCTTTTTGCTTTGCTAAATGTTAGTGGATGCCTATTGATGACATATTTGATGGATGTCAAAAAGAAGCCTCTGATGAATTAAGCTGGTTTGATCCAATTGCAGAAATCAAGGAATGTGAAGTTTCTCACTCAGGTATTTCAAAAGAAGTGTGAAGTTTGGATTTCTGAGAAATAAAAAACAGTAGTTTTATAAATGAAGAACTCAGGTGTCTCCTACAATGATGGCTGGCTTACTAAGATCTTCAAAAGGTATAAACTTAACAATACCTGCTCTGTTCATAGCTGGCCTTGCACCTTTTAAAGCACTCAGTCTTTTTCCTCCGAAAGGAACATATTGCTGGGATGATGGCAGACTTTCAGTTTTAAGAAGCTGTCTTCGGTGTTTGTCACGTAAAATTGAATGCACAGACTTCAGAAAATCCTTCCTATGTTCTGGGGAACTGAAACACAAAGAAATACACAGAAAACAGATTAGGTTCAAAACTAGCAACAGAACTTGCATTTCTATCATATGTATTTAGCTGAAACTAGTTAGTATAATTTGGCAAAAGTGCTTCACAATCTTCATTCTATTCTTCCTGACACAAGCCCTGTTAGGTATGGCACAATTCTAATTTTTCAGATTGGGAAGAGTAATGAAACTAACTTTATTTCTACAAGGGATGGGAATTATACTCAAGTCTTGTACATCAATGTCAAGCTTTTTCTGCATTATTTATTTATCTATCTCTTGGTTGTTCTTTTGACCACAGCTCCCAACTTGGTTTATCATAAAATTCATCACAATTGACTCTTTTAAAGTGTTACTTCCTTACCTGCAACAAAGATGAAATGATCTCTCTGGCCTGCCTTCTGACTCTGATTTCACATGAACTATTTCACAAACAGAATTGGTCTCTGCATCTAGAAAAAGAGAAAACTAACATTTTCTAAAAAGTCATTTCAAGCTGTTCGCTATTAGCATAGATTAGTATATTAGTGTAATGACTGAAGTAACCTATATTCTAATAATCACAAGAATTACCTTTCAACATCTTACCATGGATTTAGTAGTCAGAAGGTGGCTTCTGGAAACAGTTTCATGGAATAGTTCTGTGCATTTGACAATATTCTGGAAAACGTTTTCAGCATGTAGCTAACTGCTGGCACATTAAGTACTTCCACATATGAACTCCACATTCTGGAAATCATAGGTGACTTCTGACAAGAGCAGACCCAGCTGAAATTTTAAATCCCCCTCCCCCAGTTCAGTCCGTGAGCCATCCCTCCTAGAAATGGCTAACAGAGATGGTCCACACAATGTGGTAAATACACATGGTGAACACTTAAAGTATACTCCCAAGTATATATTCCTTACAAAAAGAACACAATGGGATTGGTCTCTGCATCTAGAAAAAGAGAAAAATAACATTTTCTAAAAAGTCATTTCAAAATGTGCAATGTTTAGTGGTTAGTTGTGACAGGAAGACAAGCATCTTTCCTTAAGATTCATACGTATGGCTCTTTCAGTATGTAACCTACATAAGGCTTTCTCAGCAGTAGTATCCTGGTTGCAGAATGCTCTCTGTTAGAAATCTGATAAGCGCCAACATTGATTTCATTTCAACACAAAGTTAATGTATAGCTATCCACCAGATTCTTTGAGGTTTAAGGACCGTTATTTAAATTGTTTTAGATTTTCTACAGTGTTAAAAATTATTTAAAATAATTTTACATGATTTAAACTGTTTAAATTGTTCTCCTTGCACTCTGTCCTCAGATTTTCTGCTACAGGAAAAGATATAAATGAGCTATTATAATTACCTGTTTTAAACTGGAAAAAAATCTTTCCCTCTTTTTATGTATTGCATATTATATACTGTATATGGTAAAGGCCTTTGGTCAGAAACAAAAAACTATTTTATAGTTATAGACTCTGGCTTTTAAAGCAATGAAAGATAGCCATGGCTATGGGCCGCTCACTTACTGCTTGTTCTGTAGCTTCAAGGACAACACTGCTAGTCTTCATTGGTACTCGTTAGTCCTCAATATGTGCCACAGCGCAACAGACAAGACTATAGCCTCACTTGCTACAGAACAATTTAACTACTTGATTTAGGGTCTCATGCTGCTCCACTGCTTGATACTGGGCTTCCAGCTGCTGAACAAGATTCATCTCTCACAGCAGTGAACCTAACAACCCTTACAACCAGGCCACATGCAGTGTGCACTGGCAGCTCATATTAGCAATTATTTGTTTTGTACACTTTTCTGAAGCACCTTTGAATCCCCCTAGTTACTCACTAGGACAGCTGTTTCTGGGTTTTAGATCAGAAATCAGAATATGTTCAGATTGACATGTACAACAGCACAACACATGCATTATTATCAGGAAAGAATGAGCATCCATACTAACATAAATTGCTATGCAATCTGGTTATTTCTTTCTAGTTTCTGTGTAAAATGAAAAAAGAAGTGTGTGTGTGTGTATGTGTGTGTGTGTGTGAGAGAGAGAGAGAGAGAGAGAGAGAGAGCGAGCGAGAGAGAGAGAATGCAGTTCTTTAACCATATTATAGTACGTTACACTGTTCTTTCCAATAAATCTCTTGACCAAAATGATGGGTAATCTCAAAGCTGCTTCTGCTGAATGTAGCAAGCAAAGGGTATGTAATGAGACACAAGATCACAGAAGGGTGATGGTGATGATTTATTCAGTATAACTGATACATTAATAGACCTTTGAATGGCCTGCAATAATCAGCATCAAAATACAGCTGTAATATTCTGCTTATCCAATATTTGAAACCCATGCAACCAGGTAAAACTTTAAGCAAACACTTATCCGTTTTTTATATGATTGGCTAAAATTCAGACAAAGGGTGGATGAAATAAAATAGTCTAGATCTGCTACTGTGGTGCCAACAGTGAGGAGCTTGTGCTAATTTCTTTGAGCACAGCATCCCACAGTGGAGCTTCTTTTATAGCCATCCATGCAATGATAGGATACTCATAAAAGGACCTTTTAAAAAAATCTGGAGAAAAGCTATGGTGCAGGAAGGGGTGGGGGGGACAAATCTTTTCAAGTTGTGCAGAATTAAAGTCAAAATCTGCACACTGAACTAGATCAAGAAAACAGTGGAAGAAAATATCTTCCTTTTCACTGTTGGATTTTATGTGCAGTTTGATTGCATTCTGCTAGCTGCCTGAAACATTTTGCAAAACAAAAAGAATTGACAAGAAAATAGAACAACAGGTGCAAAGAGAAATAAAGACATTTCAGGGCTACCTGCGCTTGCCAGTGCTCGAACCTGCAGAGCCTCTAGAGGAATCATGTGACGGAAACGGAATGGGTCTGAGTCTTCATATATTGAAGCCCTATGTGATCCACCCTAGATAACAGGAAAGGCAGGAGAGAAAGGACCAGTTATCAGTAATGTAGACTGCAGACATATGTAACGAGGATTGTTCTAATATAATTTCATACCAGAGATTTGAAATACCTACAAAAGCATATTCACTAAGGATACAGAAGGTTTTCTTCTGCAGTCACCCTATTCATGTGGTCAACAACACAAGTTGGGATGAAAGAGAAGCAAAGTCAGCAAGCTTGCTCTACCCTTTCTCGTCCCCCAAAGATTTTCCATACTTGTGAAACAGCAGAATAGGACTTAAATCATGTCTTAAGCAAGAAATATTGCCCTATAGTGTTAGAATCAGGGAAGGTGGCAAAACCCATACCTGTGGACCTGCTTTACTCCATATAGAAAACCTGTCTTGTCATCTCTTACTAGACAACATTGCACAAACAGCTCCATAATTCCATTCACACCTATTTGCGGAATACCTTTCCCCATCCTGCACAATGCTGATTGTTCAGTTCACCTGGAGTATGCCAGAAGCCTCTAGCTTGATTTTGTAATGTTGCCTACTGGATATTTTTTTTTAGGATTTATTCCAAACATGAACACTGCAAATGTCTGAAGGTCAGCTCTTCTCTTCTCTCTGCTTGTTAAATATTAAGTTCTCAAACGTTTGCGCATAATTCCTGATTACATCTAAAAGAGTAGTTATAATTGCCTGGAATGGCTCCTGTAGAAAGATGCTAGGGAGGTAGTTATAATTGCCTGGAATGGCTCCTGTGATGCTAGGGAAAATCAAGATCTGCTCCTATAGACAAACATTCTCACTTTTTTCAACACAATCAGGTTGAATTTCACAATTGATCTTGAGTTGCCTGTCTGACCCCAATTCTACAGAAAGCTGGACCCTCACCATTATCCAACTAGAAATCTGCCTTTAAATTGCAGAATCATGCCCTCTAAAGGCAGCCTGCTTAATTTTCTATCCTATGTCAGCTGCGTATAGATGCAGCACTGTGTGGATGTGGCTATCACTTGGGAAGATTAGGGAAGCTCTAACATGCTTATTTTGTCCTAGCCAGTGAAGGAATCATGTCCTCGCTGGCAAGAATGAAGGAAGAGAGCATTGACAGAGAAGAGAGGTGCTAGCACCTTTATGAAGAAACTGAGAAATTGGGGGAACTTGGAATCCATCTCGAAAAATCAGGCTGTTTTGTGACTGCCTAGGAAAGGCTGGCTGAGAACATGATGTGATCAGTGTGAGAAAGACCTTCAAGGCTCAGTGGGCTTCCTCCCTGGCACTGCACTTATTGGCAGATGATTTCAGCTACGTGAATGTGTGTGTGGGTGTCAGAAAGTCTCTTGTCTTCACGAGCATTTGAGGGAACTCAAAGACCGATTGTCAGACCATCTGGAAAGGCCTAGAATTGGATCTTTAATATATAAAAAGGGGTTCAGTTGATTTAGCTTACCTCTCAGGTGATGCTACACTCAATGGCTGTCCTGCTATGTCACACCTGGAAGATTGCACTCTGCAAAAACTTTGGAACTATGCTGACTCTACGCTAATGTGTATTAATTAGATTAGTTTAGCTTTGTTTTCTGGTATTTTCTCTTCATTGCCTTAATTTCATCTCAATCGCATTTTTCTTTCAATTGCTTTTTGAACCCCTTTGAAATTATTTGCTTTGATTATCTTTAATAAAATATAAAAATTTATTATACTAAAACCAGGTCTTGTCCGACCAGCTATAGAGTATTTTCATATCTTTGTGGGTGTGATGCCAGTCTACCTTGCACTTTGGTCCTAACTGACTAGCCTTGCAGATTTTTTCAACTTCCTAGAAGCACTGCCAAGTCTGGGAAGGCTGAATGCTGGGAGGCATCAGTGCCAGGTTTGTTCCATAGTTTTCACCACAACTCACTTTTCTGGGTTCAGTCACAAACAGGGAAGTGTGGCTCAGTGGCTAGAAAGGGACCGTTTGAGCCCAGAATTCTGTCACAACCTTCTTCTGCTGTCAGTTTACTCTTCAGCAGGGGGAGAAAAAAAT